ACTTCCAAAACTAGTGGATTTCACACAGCGTTGTTTCACGAGGTAATGTGCAACAAATGAGAAAGCTGCCGTTATACTTAAATTGAGGTTTCTAAAAAATTAAGTATAATGCAAGATATGGTAGCAAACTGATATCAAGTAACCCTGCAGCTGTTGGTTTTTAATAAATACATACATTGAAGGAAGAAAAATCTGCTGTCCCTATTCGGCCCGGCTTATGTGTGTCTCCAGTCCCATGCCAACATACTTGACTCTTCCACTTCCCTCTCAAGTTACACAACTGGCAACTTCGTATCAAACTCCCATGGACACCATGGGTAACAAAAGCAAGCACTGCAAATGAATTTTAGAAAAAAAAAGATGCATTTGTGGTATTTTGTGGTTTCAGTGCAACAACTCTGAGCGTGTTTGCACAATGTCTTCACTGATGACTGGGACTTTATGATAAGCTACAGAATCCTTTGTGATGGTTTGTGCATACTGGAAGTAAATTATTAGCTAAAAATACATAATTTAAAGTAGGAGTGTGAGCAGGAGCAATCATATAAAAATAAATTAAACTATTTTATTTAAAATCTGCAGAAATGCATAAAAACTTCCATTATACAAGTTTAAACTAGTTTAAAAATTAATACAATGTGTGAATCGACATCTCTACACAATTAACTTGCAACGTAATTTGCATGGACGAGGTAGAAGGTCAGTAAGAAAGTTTTCAGGGAGAAGCAATTGTTAGGTAGGTGCCACAGAGACAGATGAGGGAAGATGAGAGGTAGATGCAAAGTAGGAGCCCAAAGCATTGGAAGAGGTTTGGAGCAGACGTAGGACTTCCCTTATGAAAATCTCAGCTTACATTTCCAAAATATATGGGATTTGCATTAGAAATGTCTGATCATAATTAATGTCACTATTTGTTCAGACAGCACGTGCTGATAATGGTTCTGTTGCCATTTGCATATTTTTGCTGTTTTCTTATCCCAATAACATTCCCTTTTGCCTGACAGCACCATCCTTTTTTCACTTACATCTTACACAGATCTTCCTTACTGTTCTTCAACCCATTATCCTTCAACCTTGGCATTTGCTTCAAACTGTTGCATCTCCAACTTCTTCCAGTTCTGATGAAAACGTTAACTTGAAACGTTGACTGCTGCCCACTCTTTAGGTGCTACCCAACCTCAGTGTTTCCGATTTTTTCTGTTTTTAAAGTTTCTTGAAACCCATTACTGATGTTAAAACTACTCATGAAACCTAAAGCTGGTTTCAAGTCGCAGCAGGAATCTGGCTTTTGATGGAATGTAAAAGAGAACAGACATGCAGTCAAGCACATGACCACTAACCTTTGAAATTTTAACTGGGAAGACTTGCGTAAGTGATATTTAACTTGTGACACAGTAGCTAAAATCTCAAGGAAAGTAAGAAGAATGAACATGGAAGTTATAACAAAAAACAAAAATGTGTTGCTGTGACAATATTGAAGCTCCAGAATTTGAGCACAAAATACTGCAGGTAATTTTGTTTTTTTTCAAAAAAAAAAGGCAAACTTCTAACCATATGACAACAGTCTGACAATCTTAAGTTAAATTTCAATTATTAAATTATCAAAACTACATCTAGCCAAAGCATAAGATAACAAGGTGTAGAGCTGGATGAACACAGCAGGCCAAGCAGCATCAGAGGAGCAGGAAAGCTGACGTTTCGGGTCTAGACCCTTCTTCAGAAATGGGGGAGGGGATTCTGAAATAAATAGGGAGAGAGGGGGAGGTGGATAAAGGA